AAAACAAACCGCATAAAAAACCGCAAAAACCGAACCGCATACAAACCGAACGATGCGGTTTCTAAACTTCAAAAAACCGAAGTTGCGGTTTTTGGTTCGGTTTTAGCAAAAAACCGCACCGAACCGCACCATGCTCATTCCTATTACACATACTGGATAAAAATTCTCAATATGTAAGTGTAAAACGCTAGTATTCTATATATAATTTCCTAATAAAAACGAATTTTATATTAATGGCTGATGGGGTATTTAATGCCTTAATTGTAGGGATTTGTTAAAGAATTGGTCAAATAATATTGATAATTGAAGTAAAGAAAAATGTAGGTGTGACGACCCGTTATTTTCGTTATTGTAAAAGTCAATCTTGGTCAACGAAAGTAAAACATATCAAATAAAGGTCAAACTTATTTCTTTAATTATCTTAAAAAGGCTAGGTTAATAAGTTATAAAGGTATAGACCTTGTATTCAAATGTGTTGTATGTTTAAGGAGGAAAACAATAGGAACCGAGAACCCTTCATCCGAGCCGCAAACCCTCGCAGCTGGCCATTTCCTTCGGACTGCAAACGCTCGCAGCCGTAAACCTCAGTTCACAGCTGAGAACTCACTCCTCGAACCGCAAACCCTCAGATCTTATCTCCTCGGGAAGTGTTTACAGCCGAAAACTATTATGTATGTATATGAGTTCAACCGAAATCATTCCTCACTTATTTTTTTTACAACCGAAAACACACCTTTTTCTCCTAAGAACTCCAACCGTGAACACCCTTTTCTCTCTCAACTATCATCTTTAATCCTTTGAATCTTCTTAGGATCTTGCTTGGATCTTCAAGTGTTCTTCATTTCATCAAGATCTTTGGGCCAAAAACCCTTGAATCTCCTTCATTTCTTCAAGAACACTCAACCGTAAACCCAAGAACACCAAGATCTTCTTGGGCCGTGAACTCTTGGGGCTAGCCATGAACTCATAATAGCCTTCCATTTTTGCTTCTAACACTCTTATTTGTAAGTTAAACTTACAAATTAGCCCAATTCCTTATCAATCTTATGTTTATATACACTAATTGTATACATATATATTACATAAAATGCTAATTAGGATTCGGTTTTGCTACGGGACTTCACTCGTGGAAATAACATCCTATATCGAACATTCAAGCGAATCACTCACATAAGGTGAGTCCATACCCCTACGTTATTACCATTTTTTAATGTTTTAGGGGGGGGGGGGGGGGGGGGGAATACAAGTAAAAACACAGGGAAATCTTGTGTTATCATTTAAATAACTTCGAAACAGTTTTAAAAACATTTCAAGCTATTTCTACTGATTTAAACTATTTTAAAAAGTGTTTTCAAACCACTTAAATTGTTTTATTCTTTTATTTCCTGAAATACATGTTTATATATATAAAGATATATAATTAAGATTAAACAGACTTAGGACTGATGTTTTCCACCTTATCTCCTGTTCCTTGTCTGGTTGTGGATTGGGGTTTGAACCATTTGTTCGACTGTCTGTTTGATCTCAATTATATATGTTATATATATATATATATATATATATATATATATATATATATATATATATATATATATATATATATATTGAAACATGAAACTTATTTAAATAAAACTTTACCCCTTTTTGTAATCATGTCGAGTAAAAGGTATAATTCTCAAAATTATTCATTGTGTTATATAAACTGTTAAATTACTAAGATTCTCATTTCATAAAGAACATACATGTAAACTATAATATGTATAGTTTAGGGAATATTTTACTAAGCCATGAATATCATACTAAAACGATTATTTAAAGTATAATTATTGTACACTACTAGTACAATGTAATTCATACATTTTCAAGCACAAAAGAACATTAGTATGCTCTTCGTGTCTAGTTATACAGAGCTGTGAGGTACTACTTGGTTGTACCCCTCCTGGTACAGGCTTCTAAGTCTTGTAATTTATAACTAGAGTCTCCTGGAGGGAGAGCGTGAGTTTGTGTATAAATCTATACGTGGCTGACAATCCCGCACCTTGCTGTTAGCTACAGTGGGACCGACAGGTCTACGGGTGACAAATGTCATATCTTTTTCGACGCCTACAAAACGTTGTGTTTTACCGGTCCAATTAAGTATGGTTATAAAACTCACAATAGTATCAACTAAGGCGTTTAGATTTCGAGATTTCATAACTTCAGGTAGTTTTACTAAACAATAGAACTACACCACACAAATTTTCTAGTAACATGAACATACAGTTTGAATGGGGCCTATAATGCTAACTCTATGGTTCCTTGGTGTATACTTCAGGGTTGTATATTAATAGGATCCGATAGACAATAGAATGGGTGCTTTCCGATTCATTTCTTGTTCCTGTTTGGTTGTGGGCTTAGAGCAAATTCACACAGTCTACTATCTATTCGATCTTGGTTATATATATATATATATATATATATATATATATATATATATATAGTTCGTATACACTAAAGAATCATAAGGGGAAACAAGTATGGGTCAGGTCATAACATACAAGTACAACATACTATTTTCTAGTACAAAAACATACTTTTCGGATGGAACGTTTAACTAAGTATATACATATACAATGGATTTCATACAAATACAACAATTTTACATTACTTTCTAAGTACAATGTAGATGTCACTCAAAAAGGACCAACACTGTTAACTCTGTAATTTACCTAGTGTATACGCCAGGGTTACATACAATGTAGATCCGACAAACAGTGGAATGTGTGGATTCCGCCTCATTTCCTGTTCCTTGTTTAGTTGTGGGCTTAGGGTAGAACCGTACAATTGACTGTCTGTTCGATCTAAATTATATATAACTTGTATCTACTAGGTGATTGTAGAAGGAACTTAAGATCACATTTTTCTTACATTAGATTACACTGGAAAATATTGGATTTTTTAGAGGAACATGCTAAGGTTTTCAAGGAACAAAGAACATGCTTTCTAAAACAAAATACTTATGAACTCACCAACTTAAATGTTGATACACTTTCAAAATCACTTGTATTCCAAAAGTAAATAATGTATGGTTAGTAAGTTAAAATAAATGGTTCGTGGTATTTTTTGATTTTTACCTGTTATAGCATTCAAGTTAAAAAAAGAAATATTTTCCAGAAAAGTGTCATAATAATGATCTAATAACGAACATTCAACATTAAATAATTAAAAGAATTATTTTAAAGTATATTTCTATAAATGGAAGTAGAATGCCTAACTAAAAAATATGAAAAAAACTAATATGTAAAACTAATAAAGAGTATCGACATAAACTGATTCACAATTAATTCTTTAGATGTTGGATTGACATAATGATTCAAATAAACCTACGTATATAGAGGGATATATTTATTATACCAAAGACCAAAGTTAAATATGCGTATTTTGTATTTATTTAAAAGCGCGGGAATTTGAATGTGTAGATGAAGGACATCATGATAAATTGACATGGGACGAAATCTGAAAGGAGATAAGGAGATGACTGACACGTGAACAAAGAATCTTTTATTATCATAAGGATGTAGTATAAGGAAATTACGATATATGGTTAAAGCAATAATTCTCCCGTAACGAGAATACTAGGCCAATTATTATTTTAGAAATTATGATATATGATTTAATGCGTGATAAGATAAATACCACACAACTAGACCAAATCACACATCATTTTAAGAATTATTATATGATTTTAATTTAGCAATAAATCTTCTGCAACTATAAACTAAAAAGTAATTCATATTTTATTTATAGGAATTATGAATTTACGATATATGATTTTAGTTTAGCAATTAATCTTCCACAACTAGCAATTAATTCGTATTTTATTTATAGAAAATATGAATCTATGATATATGATTTTAATTTAACAATAAATCTTCCACAACTAAAAGGTAATTCATATTTTATTTTTAGGAATTATGAATTCATGATATAGGCAAATGATATAAAAAGTCTTTAAAGTTAGAAATATACAAATTTACTTTTTGCTTATTATAGTTCATTGAAGTAGGAAGTTTGCAATTTTTTTTTCAATTTACGTTTTTGCAGGTTTACCCAATGTAATCAAACATTTTTGCAAAATTTAAAAGTTTTAATGAATCAAATACTTTTACTAAACGTAAAAGTTTTAATGAATAAAAAATACAAAAAAATAAAATTAAACAAAAAAGTTACAAACTTCGGACTAGGGGTGTTCGTTTGGATGGATCAATTTGATCCGATCCAATCAGATGAATCCAAATTAATTTCGGTTTTCAAAACGTGAATCCGAATAGTCCAAATTAAATTCAAATCCGATCCGAACCATTCAAATTACAATTCGGTTGGATCGGTTTTTACTATTCGGTTTTCAAGAAGCGAGACATTTAAAAATATATATAACATAATATTAATCAACTTTAAAATAAATTGTTTGGTGAGAATTAAAATTATGAACAACTATTAAAAAAAATAATTCAATATTTTATAGATAAAAAACTATTATTAAAGTATTTAATAGATAATACTTTCTAATCTGTTTAAAAATACAATTTAGCAAATTAATAAATAACTAAAAGATGTATACTTGAAACAAATATATATAAATAAATAAATAATAAACTCTTGTTCGGTTTTTTTGGATTATTCGGTTTTAATTTTATAAACCGTAACCAATCTTAAATTCAAAATAATAATTTGGTTTTATTGGAAACTTATCCAAAAATCCGAACCAAATAGTCCAATTGGATAATTCGGTTTTATCCGAATAGTGAACGGCCATACTTCGGACTTTAATGAACCTAAATAAACACAAAAAAAATGGTACTTCCAGAGAAATAAATAAAGGCTTTTATGTATTTATGTCGTTACATGATTTTAATTTAGCAATAATAATAAAGAAACTCTACTTTTCCGGCCCAATAACGGTCCAGCCCATGTCGTATTTAAAAACGTAATCGTGTCACATTTTCTCTTTAATGGCGCCAATTCTTTCCCGCTCCCCGAAAAGCTCCCCCGAAATTGTAACCCTAACTCCGTTTCTCGAGCAGATAATCTTCTTCCCCTCCAATTGCCTCTCTAAAATCTCACAGTAGATACAAAAAAAGCTAACTTTGAAAATGTTCTATTCGCACAATCTACTTGCAAGAAAAGGTCCATTGGGCACGGTGTGGTGCGCCGCCCATCTCCAAAACAAGCTCAAGAAATCCAACTATATCACCGTCAATATCCCCTCTACTGTTGGTTCGTTCTTGATTTCAACTTTTCTTTCTGTTTATCTGCAACTTATGTTATATTTTATGGTAGAAAGTTGCGTACTTTAGTATTTTATTTCGGGTTTCTTTATCGGTTAGTGTTGCTGAACATTTTGTTTTCTTATTTCAATTGGATGTAACATCATTCTCATTGTACTTAGGGTCTCTTAAACTATGGCCTATTTTGTGTTTCAGTTATCTTTAGAAACATTTTTTTTTTAATTTGCACAAAAAATCTCAAGGACGCACAGCTGTTATCTGGTTATGGGCTTTCTGCCTGTAATTTTATCTTTTGAAATATACGTAAATAGGTAAATGCAACAACTTTCTGTCAAGATCACATGAACTTCCATGCTCAGATGTTGAATCATTATATCTTGGCTACATTTTTTTTTCTGATGTATTAATTTAGCATTTTTTTGTAGAGCAAATAATGAATCCACAAGTACCAATTGCACTAAGAATGTCTGGTCATCTCCTGCTTGGTGTTGTTCGGATATATTCAAAGAAAGTCGAGTATCTCCAGCATGACTATAATGTCCTACGTATAGACATAAGCAAGGTCTATGCAAATGCAGACATTAATCTGCCAGAAGATGCCAATCAAGCAAAATTTGATTCCATCACATTGCCTGATAGATTTGATCTCGACTTAATGGATGTTGATGATTATGATCCATTTGGGTATGAACTGCATATTTTCTTTAGAATGAAATCAGTGTCATTTTGATGATTTATGACATAGTTTGAATGATTTTTTTTCTTTTGTAATTGTAGGTCCCCCGACACCCATTTAAGGCGCCATGAAGATATTACACTCTCAGGTAAGATGTTATGATTGTGAGCTTGAATACAATTTCTGAAAGTTTATGTCAGCTTATCCTCATAAAATATTTCTTGTACCAATATCAGAAAATAGAGATCAAATTCCTTCAGGATATATTGTGATTTCATTTGGCGAGGTAAGTGTGAAAGCTGTATTTTATTGTGACATTTATGTCTTTTTCGTGAAAGCCTAACATCAGATACTGATGCTTTTGTAGGATGCCTCCAGCAATCCATCTCTCTCTGGGAATGATTCACAGTCAAGAGGGATGCCAGTTGTTGAAAGGTATGCTTATGCTATAAATTACTTCCAACAAAAAAAGTTGTCATTTAGATTAATCAAACTACTTTTCAGTGCCAATGTGGTATGATTTTTTTTCATAGCATGTTTATTGTTTGCAGTGCTATTCCTGAAACTCCACCTGTAAGAATTACTACTACTGGTTTTCAAGATCCTGGTCCTAGTCATCAAGGGCAAAGTAGTGACAGGTTTAGCAATGGGAATGAGAATGATACAGCTTCACCTGAAGTGATACGTGATGCTGCTGATAATAATGATTATTTTCATATGAGTCCGCCAGGTCATCTATCTCTTCCAGACAGGGTGGAACCAGACCCAGAGTTGGTGAATGAGATAGAGATATCAAATCAAAGCGCTCTACCAACACCAACAATGGATGAATTCTTTGTGCCACCTCACCAAACTCCACCGCTAGATTCAACTTCAACTCATTCAGAACCAGTCAATCATAACTCTGACCCACCTGTCCTGTATGGTGAGTAGCCTTTTTAATTAATTATTTATTGGCAATTACAGAAAAAAATAACATTATATTTTGGGTTTAACCACTAATACTTTATTAATTAACTATTTATGTCAAAATGCTTATATTACTGGTAAATTTGATATAATAAAGTTATAGATGAATCCTGAGATAAGAGGTAAAAAGGTTAATTTGGAAAAATGTTTGAAACTTTTATGGTTTGAAATTCTTAGTGGTTAAACCGCAAAGTTGCCCAATGTGTAGTGGTTATGTTTGTAGTTTGCTTTTAAAAAACTCTTTTTCCTGCTTAGAATACAAAAAACACAACATACATTCATCATTTTTTTACTTCAATTTTCTTATAATTATTATCATAATAGTTAAGTGGCTAAATCAATAAAAAGTAATAGTTCAATAGCTAAATTTATAAAATAGTGAAAGCGTGTTGTGCTTTTCTCATGTATTTAGCCATACATAAAATTAAAATCAAATAAACCGACTTTATTATTTTTTTTTCTAAACTGTCAAGAAATATATAATGGTTTTAATCACTACATGAAATAGTTAAGTGTAAAATAGTTAAAATATAACTTCTTTTTGGTATATTGTCCTAAAATGGTTTTTCTAAATAGCCTGGGAAAAGTGACTGAATGAATAAAATGATGAAACTTGAAAGTGCGTGCGATTATTTCTTTGTTTTTTGTTGTACATAAATATGCAAGACCTGACTTATAAGTGTGTGCAGAGGTAGCACCAACTCCACCGGCTGAGCCTGAGCCAGCTCTTGTAGCCAATCAGCCAAGAGCAAAACGGAGAAAGATAAAATATGATGAAGCTATAGTCTTAACTAATGAGTACGGAATCTTTTCTATCTACAATTCATGTAAAAACATTAATATATTTATGGTGTTTGTGAGGACTGATGAGATGGTTTTTATGGTTGGTTAATTTAGGTTCATGGAAAAATCTTTAAAAGATCACAGCAACTTGTTACGGAAAAGAAAAGGAGTCGCCTGCTCTTCTTTGGATGTTGGGAGGGTAAACAATATCCGTAAAAAGGAAAAAGTCTTGTTTGAACCTGTATTTACTGGTTAGTAGTGATTTTTTTTTTTTAATTAAAAAAAATATTATTTAATAAAACATGCATGCATGGTGCAGGGCTGTCTGATAATCTTTGTAAACTTTTTGATGGTGCCCACATGTCATCAAGAGCTCATCAGATTGTCATCGAAGAAGAAGCTGAGATGGAAATTGAACATGAACATCAACCTGAGAATGTGGGCTCAAGAGCTCATCAGATTCACATTGAAGAAGAAGCTGAGATGGAAATCGAACATCAACGTGAGAATGTGGGCCCCGGCCTCAGTGATGTCAATGTGATACCAACATATTCTCCGGATCATAATAATAATAATACATCATTCTCTTCTCCACCTCCAATGGACGAATATACCCCTGCCATGACTGATGTAGGAGGGTCCAGATCATATCCTGTTCAGACAACAATAGGGTCCACACCAGACCCCACATCATCTACTGGATCTTTTCTATCTGATGTGGAAACGCCTGCCACATTCTTCCAAGATCATCATGGCTTTGACAACACTGGAGCTCTATCTGATATTCCTGAGCTTGATGATGCTGATGCTGGAGTAAGTTTCTTTGCTCAATTTTAATCTTTCAAATACCATCAATTCAGTTGTTGTTGTTGTTTTTTTTTTTTTTTTTTTTTTTTTTTTTTTATTTTTTAAAATTGGGTTAAATGCAAGATATAGCAATGCATCTTCTTTGATGTTTTTATAACAGTGTTCTTCTACTTATATTTCTACATATTACAGTATTGCACTAGAAAAATTCAGAGTAATTATACCAATGTCATTGCAATACAAAGCAATCTTCATTGCTATAACTGGACTGATTTTTCAATTTATAACAAAAAAGTGAAAGAAGAATGCTTTTTTGGCTACTTCTTTTAAAGTACTATGCTTGAATAAGGTTACTTGGTTGAGTATTTGAAACTCACTACTACTGCATTTCTATTTCAGGAGCTGGCCTTTATTGAAGAGGATGGTGGTTCACCAATGAGTAAGTGGAGTTTTTAGCATTGCATTGTTTATATTTTGTTTTCAATTGCCTTTTCTTTAGGGTAAAGGAGTACATTTTTGACTTTTGAGAATCAATTGAGTTGTTTTAGATTGAAAAAGGAGAAGAGATTGTTTTCTTTTATTCAGGAGAAATTGTAACCTTGCTTACCACCTATATATGTGTGGCATACCAGAAAATTTACCTTCATATAGAAAGGACTATGTGAGAAAATCTTTAGTCTAAAATAGGTGATTAAAGAAACTAATGAAATTATGTTAAATTAAAATACAGAAAAGACCATATGTGAACCTCTTAAGTCAGAAATTAAAGTTTACAAATAAGTTGGGAAACTAGGTGAAAGACTAAGAAAAGGGCATGCCTATCCATTTGTCAGGTTGTCTTTTCCTTAAATGCTATAGGCATTTGTCATCAGAGCAGTTATTTTTTGATCTATATTGACATGATTTTGTTTGTGGTTTGAAGATCAGTTTCTTTGAAACCAACATCACTTGTATTTGTACATACATTTTCTTGAAAGCTAAATGCAAGATATAGCAACATGCTTTCACCCATCAGACTTCCATTTTTTTTCTTATCATAAAAAATCCAACAGATTATAGCATTGTGATTTTAGCTTTTTTCTTTTTCATATTGTTATATTTGATTTTTTTTTGAGTTATAGCAGTAAAAATTGATCTCTATGTGTATGTCATTGCTATATTTGGGTAGGTTATTCAAATTACAATGCTGTAATGTAATAGGAAGAAAAAGTAAAAAAAAATTAAAGATTCTGTAACACACAATTAATAAAAGTACATTGCTATTTTCTTTGTTTGACTTGAAATTCAGCATACCACATGTTTCTATGATGGTTGTGACTTGTAATAACATATATATATATATATATATATATATATATATATATATATATATATATATATTGTCTCACTCACCATGATTTACAGGTTTAAGGGGTACCCCTCAATCAGATTACTCGTCTGCTAGACAAAGGTCACCACCAGAAATTGGTTCATTGCAAGCAAGAACTAGGTAATTAATGTTGTTGAACATAAATAAATTTATACTGTTTAAGTTTTTATTTATTTATTTAATTAATTTGGTGATGGTGGTTCAGAGCTGTTGCACAATATATAAAGGAAAAGTCATCAGCCACCCCTTCTTCTACACTACAGAATGCAGGATCTGTTAGTTTGAACACCATTCTTGAAGGAAAAAGAAGAAAAGTATGTGCTCGAATGTTTTATGAGACACTGGTAAGTTTCTTTTTTTAATTATATATTTGTTGACTTTGAAAATCGGATGACTTTTGAAGCATTGTGTTTAGTGTTTAAAAATTCATTCTAAGTTAAATTGTTTTATAAGGAAGGAATAACACAAGAAATAACAATGTGCTTTCATTTGTTTGTGTGTTATCGCATTTTACTTTCATTTATCTACTTTTTATTCTTTTCCAACAAGACACTCTTTGAAGATTCTACAAAAATATAGCATTATACTTTTACAATTTTCTTTTCCTTATTAAGACATACTTTGGAAAATGTAGCATATAGTTGCAGTAGAATTACTTTGTATTTGGACCACATTGCTGTTATCATGATAGTTTTTCAAAGTACAGTAGTGTAATAAGAATAAATAAAAGTAGGATGTAGGTGATATATCATTCTGAAGGTGACCTCTAAGCTTGATAAAATTCCAAGATTGATAAAATTCAAACTTTTTTGTTTGATTGTTTTGGTATTTTTAAACCATGAATGATTCAGGTCTTGAAGAGCTGTGATCTTGTTGAAGTAAAGCAAGATGAACCATATGGTGATATCATTCTGAAGGTGACCTCTAAGCTTGCAAAGCATCAGTTTTCCAACTAAATAAGCTCCAAGCCTATCGCTGCATATATTGGTAACATATTATTTGTATTCTACAGTTGTATTTAAAGTTGTTGAATGCAACAAATAGCAATATACTTTGATTTTTTTTTTCTTATTAAAACCATATTAATGAATTTGATTTGTTTTTTTTTTTTACAATTTTGCAAAAACCAACATCTTGTTGTGCTTTGATATTGCAGTTGATTTGAATGCTGCATGATCATCCATCTGTGTAAAGTTTGGATGGATGATTACTGGAGGAAGACTGTGATATGATTTGTCTTCTACAGTTTGCTCAATAATTCTGCTGTTCTTCCTCCATTTTGGTTTTTACGTTTTGTTGAACTCTTTGGAAGCAATTTAATTTATTTTTTGGTGTAGGGTATTTGGGTTTTTAGCTGAACTTAAGTTGCCAGATAGCTAGCCTAATGTTTAACTTTATTTGTAAATTATTAAGGTTTTGTGGGATTTTGAAGCTTTGTTTCGAAAGATATTTTCCCTGTTACTGGAATGCCTAGATGAGATTGTTTAGTTGTTTCGTAAATACTAACTTAAGATTATGAAACTAAAATTTAACATTTATATTGGTTTATGGCATGATGCTTCTGCTTTTAGTTGTGTAGTGTATTTTTTTTATTTTATTACAAATACTTGTAAATGTGCAAGTTTTTTGTTACCCCTTGAAGAACTTGTTGCACAAAGACCTCAACATGGCTGTTTGGTTCTTTGTTCTCGGATTTTGCCCAAAATCCAGGTTTTGTTTGTTCCTTAAAAGAATATAATAAAATGTGTTATACTTTGTATATTGTGCATTGTCGTGGGATTGATGCAATATTAACAAAAAAATGAAAACTTGTCCTATACAAAAAGGTACAATGAGCTGTGGGACAGAAGATTTGTTCTTGATATCCTCAGCAACCTTTAAATATTTGTCGATGGACATCCTCCCAGTGCTGAATCTAAACCGAGCGATCTCAGAAAAATTACCTGTACCAATGTTGGTGCAAACTTCGTCGCATCAATAAAAATCACTACAAGTTTATCAATAGACGTCTTCCCAGGGTTGAATCCAAACCCACATTAGGTTATCTTAGATATTTCATCTTTGTCAATCTGTGTAATATCCCTCGTATTTATAAAAACCACTAAATACATCGGCAGGCAAAGAAAACACTTTAGTCTCGTAGTTTGGGATGTCACATGTATGTATAGATAAAAAACTGATCCCGCTAACACCAATCATTGGCAGACAAAGGAAACGGATACCGGCAGGTTAATAACCATCCTGCTCAATTTACTTTTTTATCGCGCTCAATACATTCATTTTTTCCCGCTATTCAACTCACAAATTACTTTTTAGCCCTCTTTATTTAATAATATTTATCCTAACATTTTAAATTATATAGAAGATTAAATGTCATGTGTCACTTGTTGATTGGATCCGTAATTAGAGATGGCAACGGGGGCGGGTATCCATCCCCATCCCCAGGGGGCCAGGGAATCAGAGATTTATTTTTCTCTTTTAATAGGAAAACTTTTACGTAAAAAAAATCTATAAATTTCAATTTTACCATCATAAGTTTAAAGATTTTACTAACTATAAAAATATCCATAGATTGCATAAAAATATAAACAAATTTAAATACATGAATACTTCTTATTTGTTTTAATCATGAATACTTCTGATTTGTTTTGGTTCTTTCCACTTTGATTCTTCTATTCATGGATTACTCTTTAATTCAGAGTTTTACATTACTACTTATAAATTGGTTATGATTTGACTGTGACATTATAATTTTCAGGAGGTTTTGAGTTGTTCAAAAATGTAGATACTAAGTTTCAGTTGGTTTCATTTTAGGTTGTGTTTGTGGGTGAAATTAATTTTTTTTCTTAATCATTTTCTAGCTTTAGATGTTTCCTTGAGTTTTTTGATGTAGTGTTGCACTTCATATCAGATATCATGAAATCCAAAGGGTGGAATTAGAAAGTCATGATCTCTTGCACAAGCAATACCATAACATGAATTGGTTAGAGTTTACGTAATCATATGAATGGTAAAAATGTTAATAGGTTGCACTCTTGCTCCCAATACAATTTTTGTGGTTTCATATGAAATAATAAATTGACTATTTTTTAACCATTTGTCATAGGTTTTTTGTATGCGCGTGGAGTCCAGCTGCCTATTATTTTGCATCTAGGTGCGTGCATTCCTTTCTAAAAATAACAGTACCTTTTTTTGAACGGCGAGTGCATTAACAAACTAGAAAGAAACTATCAGGGAAAAAATGTGACAACTCGAAATTTTACCTTGTACAGTCTTTCAAATTCAATCACAGTTAGACTCATTTTTGCTAACTTTTGGCATTCTTCAGGGTCTATTTGAATGTTCTAAGTCAAGTACATTCAAGATATAAGTTTAGGAATGAGATAACTTAAGCCATCGTATAACATTCGGGCCAAACACTCCAACTTGAGGAGTATACGGCCGTACACATGTGTACAACTGTACACATGAGTGTACAACCGTACACATGGGTGAACGGCCGTACACCCAAGTGTGGCAGCAAACCCAAACGTATATCAAGGTTTTTCCTTCATTTTCTCTCATTTCACACACTTACACCTCAAGGAAATTCGATTCTCTCTCAAAGTTCATCAAGTTCTTCACCCTTAACCTTCATAGATGTAAGTATTCCTTCCATTTAAGTGTTGATATATGGCTTTATCAACTGAAGATCTATGTTTTCATCCATGAAATCTTCTATTTTGATTAGATCTTCATCTTTCATCAAGAACACCAAGAACATACACTTGTTCTTAGTGATTGTGAACCTTTTTGAGCCTCCAGATCGTAAGTACTCCTTCCATAGACTTAGTACTTGATAAGAACACTAGATTAAAACACTAAAAACATCCAGAACTCAAGAATATAAGGAGTGTACGACCGTACACTCATGTCTGGCCGTACACCCCTCAAAACACCCCTAAAGGGCCTCCAAAATGCATTTCAAGCTTCAATACTTGATGAGAAATTGTCCTACAAGCTTCCCTAACATTAGAAAACACTTTTATGCACTTATTACCATGAGTGTGCGGCCGCACACTCCTTGGCCGTACACCCATGGCCGCACACTCCTCATTGTGACCATACACTCCCCTTAGATGAATCACATGTGATTCTAACACATAGTTCAAGTGATTCCTAGTCCCTAAGATGGTTTCTTAACATATTTAGATGTATAAACACTAATTATGTTCATATATGTGTGATTATATGCTATTAGGATTCGTTTGTGTTCAAGATTTTACTTGACACTTAGCATCCTACACCAGTCGTACATTTGAATAACTTACTACAGGTGAGTTCATACCCCTACATTTTCATAGTTTTTACTGTTTTAAGGGGGGGGGGGGGATACAAGTCTAACACAAAGTTTTTGTGTTATAAACAAGTGATTTCAAATATCTTATCAAAATGAATTTCAGTTATCATTAAATCAAATGGTTTTCAATGATTGTTTCAAAATGACATCAAGTCACCAAAATGAATTTCAAAATATCAAACTTCTATTAAATGTTTTATAAACTTATATTTTTCCCCAAAAATCATACTAGTATACATATATTTATATAAATAAGATTTAAAAGATTTAGGACTAATAACCCACTTTAGTTCCTTTTCCTTGTTTGGATGTGGAATTACAAGTAACAGTTGTTTGTCCGAGTGTCATTTAAATTTTACATATATATATATATATATATATATATATATATATATATATATATATATATTAGTATATATATACAAGTATAAAAGTTTGTTCATTTAGTTTCAGTTATCCTTTGTAACATGTTGAGCAAAGGGTTACATTCATGAATACTCCTTATCAAATCAGAAAGTACATATAAATTATAATAGGTATAATTTATGATTCAAAGAACATTAATTCACGATTCAAGTATACTAGATTACATTGTTTTACAAGAACAAAGATTGATTCAAAACTATTCAAGGATATATATTCTTTCAGATACATGTTAAGAGTACTAATTCAAGAACATACTATCAATCGTTTATTTCAGAATGATTTGTTTTTCATAATTATTATACAAGTAACGTTTATATGCTTTTATGAGTCAAGTAGTACAGGTTGTTTAATTCATTTAAACAATATAGTAAAGTCCTGACATTATAACCAGAATCTCCAACCGGGGATCGAAACAATGTGTGTATAGATCTATATTGGGATTGACAACCCCGCACTCGGACTGCTAGCTACAGTCAGAAATACACGCCTGTGAGTGACAAATTGTTATCAACATGTTTTCAGTGCACTCATAGCGCTGGGTCAGGCCATCTAGTCAGTATGGTTATAATAACTCATTAAAAGATATTAACAATACGTTAGTGTATAATTAACTAAACTTATGTACTATTCTAAAGTACTAGTTTACAAAATACAGTTTACAGTAAAACATTACAGTTTACATTAACAGTTGGTGAAATCAGAAACACTCTTAGATACAAGTTTACAAAAGGATTACAAATACAAAACATTCATTTACTAATAGAACAGTTTTATGCAAATACAATTACTTTTCATATACAACAGAAAATATAGGATTTTCTGGAAACAGTTTACATATTCAAGAAAACAGAAGACATTCTTTCAAAACATAAATACTTATGCACTCACTCAACTTTATGTTGATACTCTCTTTTCAAATTACTTGTATTCTCAGGGAACCAGTAGACAGGTACACCCCGAGCTTTTAAGAAGATGGAGCTATTTATGTATTGTCTTCTTCTTTTGTACAACTATTTAGTTACAGTATACAATGTTGAAACAAATGTAAATATTTATACTTTTTAAATACAATGGTTGTTTGTACTTTGATTACTATAATGCATGTGTTGTGATACTACAAATGAAGTCCTCCACCCCCGGACGTTTCCGCCGTCTGGTTTGGGGGTGTGACAGATTGGTATCAGAGCATTGTTTATAGTGAACTCAGTATATCAATCCATAAAAGATATACAAACTATAAATACAATTGGGGCTAAGAGCTCTGACTACAAGTATACTTTTAAAAATTTAATTATTTTTACAAGTATACTAACACTTATCTACAAGTACAGTATCACAATCCTAAGAACTTAAAAGTATTTGGATGTTGAACATTACAGTCAAACCTGGGCAGTTATGTAATCATATCTGGGATTAATATAGCCTGATCAACTATATTGATTTGAGATATGACCAACATGTGTTTGGGAGTGATAGTGATGTTGTGGCATGTCTAAAACTTACCAACTATACATATTCAGAAGAACTCTAGAACAGAACATAGAGATTAAAATACTATAGGAGTATTTTAGGCACTATATACTAATAACAAACATGTGAAAACAACAGAACAATTAAGGGTAGAACTATAAATATAAAGGGTATATTACAA